ACGGTCGTCCTTTTCGGTAGTGACTGCTAGCGCAACACACCGCAGCGACTCAATCTGCATTACACAATCACCGGCTGTAGTATAGACATCAATGTCACCCACCATGTCTGACGGGATTTTCCGAGTGGGAGGCGTAGCCTTTGTGACATAAGATTCGACCTGGAACGGAGAGCCCCTAGGATGATCCGTGTGGGCGATGACTGCTGGGTTGAATCGTATAGATTGGATCTCCCTTGGCAGATGAGGTGTCCGAAGGCTCCTACAAAGTGTGTAAGTAAGTGCAATAGGAAAGTAACGTAGGTTTAGTAGGACATACTCATCATCCGGAGATGCAAAGGCCACGAAAAGGGTTTGAAAGCATGTATCCAAGACGCCCGGGTGCATGAAGGAGGAAGAAGATGGCACGTGGGCCACCGTTGCCGACGCGTGGAACAGCCTCCGCTCGCTGGCTAGCAAAGAATGAAACGGCCCAGTATAATTCAAGCCCAGCCGGGACATGGACCCATAAAACCGTTCGATGTCTACAGGGAAGTTTCCCGGAGACTGTTGCTGCTTTCTGGGCAGAACAGTGAGGCCAGGACTTCCCATTTCTAGGCGGACGCGGGTGGTGAACCTAATTGTCAATACATCGGAGCCATCGACGTGACCAGCGATGCAGGTGAAGTTGAGATTAACAATTCCGAAGGCTGACGAGTCCTTTGACTCTCGTGTGGGATTAGGGCCGAGGTGGCAATGGAGCTCTATGCCGTCGGCGCTTCCATCGATGCTGATCCCGCGACGGATATCCAGATCATGCAGCTCCAGGAGACGTACAGGCCGTGGGTAGGAGAAGCGCAAAGCCGCTTCCATCGCCATTATGCAATATCCTGCAGCTGGGAATAGCATCTCACCTTGGAATTCGTGGCCTTGCAGCCATGGGATCTCCCGCGGATGCAGAATATTCCGCCACCGCCAGCATTGCTCAGATTGCTCCACGCAGACGCCAAGCAGCTCATGAGAAGGTGCCCGGGTGCGATATTCTTTCGAAGCGCGCGATTCCCGCCAGTACGGTCGCTCGTGGTCCCACGGATAGCTTGGAAGGACCTTGGGGAGCATCGCTGGCAGGATGCCGTCTTCTCCATTGATGAGGCTCTGGAATACCCGGAGATCGACAGAGGATGGACCGCAGAGCTTCCATACCTCACCAAGACACTTACTTAGACGAAGAACATCATTTTCTCCACGGGTCAGCGCACCTAGGTAGGCAGGTACGTTCTGCTGGAGCGCCTTGAAGTTCTGCCCGGCTGGACCTGCCAACGCTGGATGAGGGCCAACCTCAATCGCGCAATTAAAGGGACCATGATCCCGGATGGCCTGTGATAAAGCATCCGAAAACAGGACCGGTTGAAGAAGATTCTTCAGCCAGTAGCTGTCGTTTACGCAATCCGAGCTGCAATCCATTTCGAAGCCATGGATAGAGGATATCCAGGTACAAGACGGGCCAGAGGTGCGGTATGCAAAGTTGCGCGCCTGGAGAGCTTGCATGTAAGGCTCTGCACACGGCTCCATGAAAGGCGAATGGTAGGCCTTATCGACCCGAAGTATGCGAGCGAACTTCTGTTGGCGGGTCAACTCGTCTCTGGCAAATTCCAAAGTGAACAAGTCTCCCGCCAGCGTGGTCGAGGAGGGCGCGTTGCTCGCAGCCGGAAAGATCTTCCCAGCATACTCGGGTTGGGTGCAGAAGCGGGTGGCTTCATTGAATCCCATCCCCACCGCCATCATTGACCGCTTAGGCCCGCCCTCCCCGAGGTCTGCACGCGGTGAGTAGAGGCCGCGATAGTAGGCAATTGTAATAGCAGCTTCCGCCGTGATGCAACCTGCTGCGTAGGCCTACAAGGCGGTTAAGTTAGTTTAGATCTAGGATTGTCACGATGGCAGTGGACCAACTTACGGCACTTATCTCACCACTGCTATGTCCAACCACCACAGAGAAGCGAATGCCAACACTGTAGAGCAGGTCGACCAAGGCTACTTGAACAGCGGTAGTCAGTGGCTGGGCATACGTTGACTGCTGACACCTAGATGTGTCCGGATCGGCGAGGATCTCTTGCCGTAGAGACCATGTAGGAGGGTCTGGCAGCTGCTGGAGTATATCATCGAGGCGATCAATGGTCGCCGTGAACGGACCGGGCCGAAGCAGCAGCTCACGACCCATGGTGGGCCATTGCGCCCCCTGACCCGTAAAGACTCCGAGGATCGCGGAATTGTGGGCCTCAGCACCTCGACCGGAAGGCCCGGGCTTCCACTGAGGGTCTTGTAACTGCTGTAAAATTGAGTTGTGGGAAAGACCAGTGACATAGTGCTTGAAAGGGAGATTCGAGCGTTTCTGTAGCGCCAAGGATACTGCTTGCATGTCGACCGAGGGGTGGGTGGCGATGAAGCCAGCATATTGCTGTATTAAGCGGGCCAAGGACGATTGGGATGAGGCGGAGAATGGCAAGCTAATCAGCGGGCTTTCAACCGCCGGCTCATTCATTGGTTTCTCGGTGCCTTCTTTTGCTCCTCCATGAACGGAAGGTGCATAATGTTCGAGGATCTGTCATTGGCGTTAGCAACCAGATCATTGGAAGAGACATGGTGGCTTACGCAGTGTGCATTGGTGCCCCCAAAACCGAAGCTGTTGACTGAAGCACGGCGAACCTGCGCCGGTGGCCATGGAATCGGTTTGGTGGGGACATGAAGGCCGTCATAGAAGGGTACAATGTTGGGGTTCAGCCGCTTGAAATGTAGGTTCGGTGGGATGATCTCATGCTGCAGGGCCAAGGATGCCTTGAGCAAGCCTGCAATTCCAGCTGCCCCCTCTGTATGACCGACAACTGTCTTAATGGACCCCACATATAGCTGGCTCTCTTGCACCTGACAGCCATCATTGGATTCAGGGAAGAACGCCGAATGGATGGCCTCGGCTTCAAGGGGGTCGCCGACGGGCGTCCCCGTTCCGTGAGCCTCAAAGTACTGGCACCTGGACAGGTTATCTCAGCAAATGGGAGACAAATGATGAGAGTGTGACATACCGATCAGATGCTTTGGTAGGGTCAAGTCCAGCACGTCGGTAGGTCTGACGGATCAAATCCGCCTGACTGGCCGAGGATGGCATGGTGAGTCCGTTCGTGCGTCCATCTGAATTCACTGCCGTTTCCCGGATCACAGACTCAATGGGATCCCCGTCGCGGAGGGCATCTCCGAGCCTCCTGAGGATCACTACTCCGACACCTTCACCGCGAGCATATCCATCGGCACTGGAATCCCACATGCGGGACTTGCCTGTTGGCGACAGCATGCGCAGATTCGACTCGGCAATGTACATCTCGGGACCAAAAATAAGATTAACACCCGCTGCCATAGCCGTGGAGCACTCTCCTTGGCGCAGGGCTTGCACTGCTTGGTGGACAGCCACGAGACTAGAAGAACACGCGGTGTCGACAGTTACCGAGGGCCCTTTCCAGTCGTAAAAGTAAGACACCCGATTGGACAGGATGCTGCGTGCTGTACCTGTGGCATGATACTGCGCGAGGGCCTCCGGATCCCTTAACTGGACGTCGAGATAATCGGCACACATAAGGCCCACGTAAACCCCTGTGGGAGTCCCTCGGAGGATGTCAATCGAGAGACCTGCACTCTCTAGAGCCTCATAGGTGACTTCGAGCAGTACCCGATGCTGGGGATCGATGGCTGCCGCTTCTCTGGGATTGATATTAAAGAAGTTCGCATCAAAACGACGGGTATCATCTTCGATGAAGTAGGATTTTGTGACATTAGATGTGCCATGATGGGACCCGTCCACGTTCCAGAATCCATCCACGGAGAATCGGTCCCCGGGGATCACCTTTCCCACATCTCTTGGATGTATAAGAAGTTCCCAGAGCTTCTGTGGGTTGGTAGCGTTGCCAGGAAAGCGCGATGCGCTCCCAATAATGGCAATGGGCTCTCTTTCCGGTGCCATAATGTCCCCAGTTGCAAAGTCAATCAATCACTAGGAACCAGCAAGAAAGAAAATGTACAATAACGCGCAGGCTACACAACTCCAAGCCCCTTGCACTCTAAAGACTGTAAGCGGGGGACATGAGGGGAACCCATTCTACCCTTGTAGTTTTGACGGACTCCGGAGCCAAACGTAGCTCGCCTGTGATAATCTACGGAGCCTCTCCCAACAAGGAATGTTCCGACTTGTCCGCCGATATTGGTAGGCAGTGCAATTTGATATTATGGACGAGGCTAATCTCCCTAATAGCCTGATTCGGAGAGATAGCTCCAAAGGCTCCGTACAGGCGGCTAGTACAGGGCGATTGAGGCAGTATACTGAGTGAGATAATGACCCACTGAGACGAATATTGAGTCCAGACCAATCATACTAACAATATAAAGCCCCTATTCTGTCATGTTTCGTACCTGTTATGACCATGTCCATCTTTCCTCCCTCCGGACCGTTACGCCTCCTCGGATACACATAGAAGTTGAAAGGAGCGTATTATTGGCATGCAGCCCCACCCTGTCACTCGACCATCTAGGCAGTGAGACCGATGAGACTACTGTAGATAAGATTTTAGCACTGACATAGGTAAGACTTTAGTTGTGACGATGATCAACACGAGGGAGATCGGGAATTTCTCTGATGTTCCTCACCAGGTCCCCGACGTTGCTGTGAACGCAGTGGTTAGGCAACACGGAGCTCCTATCTGGAATTGGCCCCAAAATCTCCAAATGGGTACATTGGCATGTCAGATCATGAATGCTTCAAGCCAAGTGGTGGCTTCACGGAAGATAACCCCTCAGGTGGGATGATACTACCCTATCCTTTGTTTTGGGGGCTGTGAACCAGATGACAGAAATATATATAGCGTTGCGAATGCGCCCTCACGATTACTTCACTTAGACAACATCAACAACACTTCTTACTGTTCCATTACATTCAATTCTCCTCAATTGAACCACTTTATTACTCTACTTCTTCCCTCGTCATCATGGCACCCAAGAAGCAAATGGTCCTCAAGTTGACCTCCTTCCGCTACAAGAAGGAGGGAATCTCTGAGAAAGAATTCCACGAATACGCCAGCAAGTCGCATGCCCCTAAAGCAGCCATCGTACAGGCTCGCCATGGCGCCATCAAAGTGTGCCAGGTTTGTTATACTATCCATTGCCAAGCCCCCGCCGGGGTCCTCTTTCCAAAAATGTGTATTGAGGCAGATATGCTGACCAAGGAATTTTCGAGCAGTACCACACTCCAAGCGCCAGCAAGAGGCTTATCACTGAGAAGATCCCTTGGGCCGTACGTCCAGGCTGGGAGATCGAAGATCACGACATCATGGTGTGTGTGTACGTGCCGAATGCGGAGACAGCACAGGCGATTGTGACAGACCCAGACTTCCAGAGCCTCGTGGCTGGAGAGGACGAGATCTGTGACCAGACCCGTGCCAAGTTGACTGCGGGGTGGGAGGAGGTGTTCGTGGAGGATGGCAAGGTGGTCGAGGCCGACTATGGTACATTTGAAGAGCTCACTAGCCTTGGCCATGATAGCAAGCCTACTTCGGCTCCCGAGGGCATCCGCATCTAAAAGGGAAATAGAGAAGATAGCATCAAATACCTAGTTAGCTCCACCAATAAGATACGTGTGTGATTTGTACTATTTGTGGGACCAGCTGGGCCATAGACTGCGTAAAGTGAGGACCTGGGGTTGCAGCTTACCCTGCTCGGAAAATACATCAGTGTGGAGTAAGTGGTGCCTGTCTATAACTCAATGGAATTAATATGCATTTTATCCCCTTTCTATCGCCTTCTGCTGTACTAATTAAGTGAATCATCGTTGGTGATAAGAATGCACTCAGTGTGCTCCCCTTTTGGGTTTAGCGCTGACACAATGCATCATGCTAATTTAGAGAGTTTTAGACACCTTTCAACCACGCGGAGTTGGGCCCTTCTAAATGCCAAACTGTAACTGTAAGTCAGCATCCAAATGGAGACTTTATGGGATGATTATGAAATGTAATTGGAAGAAGAAGACCAAGTGGATCCATCACTGCGCGTTGAAGACATGTTCTCTGTGATTAACAAAAGCCTAGACTTACGAAGCCACCAGAACTTGCAGCCCTAGCTCGATGATGCCGCCAAAGAGGTAAGCACTAGCATTTAGCTCGGGGCATGATTCGCCATCTCTCTCTGCAGAATCCTTGTGAAAATCCAACTAACCAGTCACAAACCAAGTAAACAGTTACCATAAGTGATAATGTTAAAAGAACAGATTACGGCACAAATCAAAACGCCCTGATCAGTCACGCGTATCGTTCAACAGCAAACCACAAATCCTCTTTTGCGCCATCTTTGCCAGCCAAGACAGAAACGTGCTCAACAAACATTGCCGGACATTGTTGACCACTCGTATTCTTCGGCGGAACTTCCACTCCTGCCCTGGTGTGTTTTTACGGAGTATTTACCGCCGTATCGCCTATGCGCCTCCCACAGGATAGACCAATTTGCGGCCCGAAATCTGCTTACTCCGGAGCAAAGGCAAATCGCCAACAATTCGCGGCAAACCCCCTTTCTGCACTTGCAGTGGATGGGTCTGTAAGTCCCCCCGTGCCAAAATGTGGGTGCAATGACGTGCCCACTCAATAGCAAATTCGCGATCTTCGGGCCGTGCAGTGCGATGATAAGACCCTGCTAGCTGGACATCCTCCCCAAAAATAGTGGCGCTGTGAATCCACTCTGGTTGGATGTCCTGCCGGCGACCCTCCAGGCGAGGGGAGTATCGGTCTAATGCGCAATATCGGCCCCCATCCCCACCAATAGCGCCGTAGCACACCGTTGTGGCATGAGAGTCGGCAATACAGTCCATAGCAAACGCCAGTGTACCCTTCGTGTAAGCACGGATGTCTTCCTTGCAAGTGCGTGAGGCGTAGTCAAAGGCTGCCGTGGCCCCCCGCTGCTTTACGAGCGGGAAATGCCGCGGTGAGCACGTCGTGATCGGCTGGTAGCCATGGAGTCGAAGCATCTGAATGGCTAGAGTGCCGGTCGCTGTTGAGCCTCCGTATACGAGGACAAATGGCTTGTTTGTGTTCGTTGAATCAGGGTTGAGGCTTATCTGTGTCTGCAAGCCAAGCGAACGAAAGAGTAGTCCTACAGTCATCAGACCCATACCCACAGAAGCAGCCTCTTCAAAACTCATGGTCGGAGGCACTCGAAAGCAGAGACTCGGGTGAGCGACGATATAATCTGCAAAGGCACCATTGTTGGGACTAGTAGGACTGGCCCCAAAGACAAAGCCGCAGACACGTTCGCCGATTGACATGTTTTGCACTTCTTCTCCGCATGCAACGATGACTCCAGCAAAGTCGCTGCCGCTAATTGCGCCCGGGGTGGCCGCAGCTGCATCGAGCATCTTCCAATCAGACGGGTTGAGTGCAACGGCCCTAGTCTGCACCAGGATCTGGTCCCCTGTGAGGGACGGCACAGGGGTGTCGGTCACACATCGGAGGGAGTTGGGCCCCTGCACCACCAATGCACTCTGGGTCGTAGGTATCGCGGGCATTATGGTGAACTTTTGGCACCTAATGATGCAGCAATAGTGTCGGAACTTGGCTGGATTATATACACTGCAACTTTACTGCGTATTCCTGCAATCCTGACGGGTCCTTGTCACGCCTCCCAATTTCCCTAGAGGACTATCCAATACATCTGGCCGTCTTCCACTTGTGAAGAATGGAACATTACTTTGCAACATTGCAGTTATCTAGCACTGAGGCCCTCCGGGCCTTCCCCGACGTCATCAAGCAATGAAGTTGCTGGCAACCCCTCACATTCCTCAAGCGGCGCATTCAGCCCCCACGGGTATATTGCATGTTATGGGCAAAACCTGCCGGCTCTTGGGGCAGAAGGCCAGCCACATGCAACACGACTCTGCCGCCTGCTTCTCTCTTAGAGGTACATACCTGTTGCGAGCCGGTGGCCCCCATGTAGTAGCATGCATGTAAGACGCAGTCTTACTCAAGCGGGATGAGGGGAAGGAAAGAAGGCTGATAGGCAATCTATCAAGGACCTCGAAAGAGGCCGTTTTATTTCCCAAAGTTTCTCACAACCACGTTTCTTTCTCCAAAGGATTCTTTGGCGGGTACTTTGTACAGGAGCCTTGCTTTCCACCAGTATGGCGAACAATACCAGCGCCATGGATGCGCTTCTGAGCAATCATTCCCGTGAGAATCGGGGACCCGAGGTTCTGGCAGCATGCATCATTAGCATGTTCTTCTGTGTGCTGGCTACTGTGGTCCGCCTCGTGGCCCAGGCCACCATCCGCCGCCTCTTCACACCAGATAGTATCCTTATCATATTTGCATCCATACTAGCCCTGGCAGTGTCCAGTTGCACCATTGCTGCTGTGAAGAATGGACTAGGTCGTCATGAGGTTAGCAATGCCTGAGAACCAAATGGCCTAACAGAGCAGAGTAGGGCTGACGAGTTCATGCAGTACTGGGTTATGAAGGAGGATCCCCACCCCCCCGAGAGAACGGCGTTCATTTTCGAGGTGAGTCTGGAAAACATACTCTCCCTCTCTGTGGTCCTAGGTGGGATGTCTAGTCATGTAACTAAATGTTCTCTTCAAACATAGATGGGCTATGTGGTTACCGTGTTGCAAGCCGCAGCCCTCATGTTCAACAAGCTTTCCATCCTCTTCTTCTACCAGCGCGCCTTCACCTCCATCATAAGATCCCTCCGCTACACCATCTGGGCCCTCTTTGTCTTCTGCACGGGGCTAGGTGTCGGATCTACCGTCGCGTTTATTTGCGCCTGCGTACCACCACAAATGTTCTGGTTACGCGTATATCCGATCTTCGGCTTTGAACCCCCGGAGCCCTTGCACGGACACTGCGAGCCCCAGCGCTTGCATTTGGGCGTTCCACTACTTCTCGATCTATTCTCCGAAGTGGTTATGCTCTTGGTCCCGGTATTTGTTCTTTGGAATCTCCAGATGCCGTGCCGCAAGAAGGCTGCGGTGATCTTCACGTTTTCCTTGGGTGCGTTCGTGACAGCCATCTCGGCGGTGCGGTTCTATTATTCATGGAAGCTAGAGAATGGGGGAGATTTGTCTTGGGATGACACGGACAGTTATATGTGGAATAGTGTGCAGCTCTGCTGGGGTGTGGTGACAGCGTGTATCCCTGCATCAGCGCCGTTGCTGCGCGTGGTCCAGAAATCAACCACGGTATCTAAATCTCGCCGTCCGTTCAAACCACATGGGTATATGATGTCGACGAACGGTCGGGTTGCCCAAGGCAAAGGGCAAAGACATGCGCAGCGCCTCGATAGTGTAACTGAGCTGACTAACAGTTCTTGGGATGAGGGGGAATCGGGCCCATGGACGAACTCTGCTGATCCATCGCTGGAGCTTGAGGAGGGCAGGAGGAACAAGCATCAGCCATGATTATCGTGCAATTTCGCTTGACAGAGCTCTCCATTTTCATGGACTCCGTGTACTAAATGTAAATAAATTAGCCTTATCGATAGCCTGTCTCTGATCTTTCTCAGTGCACTCCCATTGGTCTATCATAACACTACCAACTACTACTAACTACTAGACCAGAAGAGCAATGCCGATGATACTGAAGTCCGAAGTAGGAAGGTGAGATGTTCCAACAGTTCACCAAAGCGAAGGAATGTGATCCATGATGATTTTTTTTTTTTTTTTTTTTTGTAATTGTTCAAGGATTCTCTTTGTTCACTGCATATTCCACGCTAGTAAATAGGCCGAGTGACGGACCATTGGCCCGTTGGGCAGTTGTCATCCTGCGCATCCCCTGCGCATCCCCACCTATCAGCCAGGGTCTGTAGGGTTAGCGTCCTGCGAGTGTCGCTGGCACCATTTCCCAGACCAACACATTAATATCGACTGGTAGACTTGCTCCTTCTGATAAAACCTGTATGGTACCAGTGCATACCGGACGGTATAATACACACGTCGCATCGAGGCAGAATCTGGACCGAGTAAACGGAGCCCAGAGCCCCTTTCCCGTTCAACCTTTCAGCTGAAACCTCAACTCCCATCTCTACTCATCCTGGCTCAGCCTTCTTCTTCCTGCGCGCTTTAAAGGTTCACAGTTTGCCTGCGCCTCCCATTCCTTCCCTCATCCTCCCGCAGCCATGGAAGCACAACCCTCATCCTCCTCCTCGAGGGGCTGGCGCTTCTGGCTGATTATTGCGGGCTGCGCCGTTACCTCGCTACTGACGGCCGTTGAGTCCACTGTCACCTCGACGGCCCTTCCTACCATTTCTCGGGACCTGAACGCCGGAGAGTCGTATATCTGGTTTGTCAATGCTTTCTTCCTCTCCAGCACGGCCTTCCAGCCTCTCTATGGCCAACTCGCCGATGTCTGGGGCCGACGATGGCCGCTGATTTCCGCCGTCGCCTTTTTTGCCCTTGGGAGTGGAATCAGCGGGGGCGCTTCATCCTCCGGCATGCTCATTGCCGGACGAACTGTGCAGGGAGTGGGCCTGGGAGGAGTCAACATGCTGGTGGATATTGTACGATTCCTGAAGCTTGACTTCCCCTTATTTGCTTTTTTTGCTCCTGTTCTGATTCGCTGCAGGTTGTCTGTGACCTCGTACCGCTGCGCGAGCGGGGCCAGATCATGGCGCTCATCTTCGTCGTCTTCGCGGTGGGCTCGTCTCTTGGCCCGTTTATCGGAGGCGCTTTCACCGAGAATGTCACTTGGCGCTGGTCTTTCTATATCAGTCTGCCAATCGCAGGGGCGGCCATAGGCCTCATGCTTCTCTTCCTTCAGGTGAAGTATCAGAAGAACACCACACTGGTCCAGAAGCTGAAGCGCATTGACTGGCTTGGCAACGGGCTGCTCATCGCTTCGGTCGTGGCCATCCTGATCGCACTCAGCTTTGGCGGTACCACCTACTCCTGGTCAAGCTGGCATGTAGTTGTACCATTAGTCCTCGGCCTGCTCGGCCTTCTGGTCGCTTTCCCGGCTATCCAAGCAACCCCTAAGCTATGCCCCGAACCCACTATGCCACTCCGCCTGTTC